TAAATTAATTCCCTTGGACATCATCCTTAATTTGAATGAAGCACAAAGGAGTGAACATTCCTTAACTTGGGTCAAATTTGGAAAAAGAAAAAAGGGACTATACTTTGATTTTTATCTATGAGAAAGCTACCAAAATCTATAAATGGTAAAAAAAGGAATTGTGGGAGGGGAGTATAGACTTCTGAAGAAATAATGAATGTACTTATTCATTAACTTAAACTGAAAAGACAACATTCATGTTGGAAAAAGCTGACAATTTTAAGTATGTATTTTGTAATCTCTAATATTACACAAAAAGAAAAACTAATTGGATGCTTCTTCATAGAATTTGTAATTAAGTAGAGTTTTCAATGAATGATCACTTACAACTCAATGGAAATGGGAGTGGATTTGAAATCATCTTTGGGCAAAATCTTAGTTGAAGAAAAAAAAGTGGGGGGAGGTGTATGTGTATTGGGTTGATATGAAAGATTATTTAACATCAGTATATGTTATGATGAGAGATGTTGAACACTGAATCTTTTTTAATGAAACTTTTTACTTTTAATAATTTAAGATTTGCATTTTAGAATAACCAAAATGGTATGCTTTATTCATTCAACCCCACCTCAAGGAATGATGCAAACTAATTTTATTTCTCTGAAGAATCACTGGTTCATTGCTGAATCAATAAAACTTCAGGTGACTTTTTCTGTATGGAAATCAACAGATCAGGTTTTATGCAAATAAGCCAGTAAATTGCTCTCTTTTAATTTAGCCTCCTTAACATTTACACCATTTTGCATTCATTGTCAAGGTAAAGAGCAGGCTTAATGCCCCTCCTCAGAGCATTAGTCACATAAGTAATTCTGGTTAGGATTGAACTACTGTTGTACTGATGACAGTCACAACCAACAGTTCAGTCCAAATTTGAAAAACTCTCACTTGACTGTGTCTGAAGATACATCATTTGTTTTTTATTTTATAAAAAAAAAAAAAAAAAAGAAAGAAAGAAGAAAGATTCCATAAAATGTTCTAAAAGGAATCTTAATGGGTATAAAGGTCAATAAATTGGCATTTCATCTATAAAGAAGATGAAAGCAAAAAGAAAAAAAGTAAAAGACTTTTTTGCAATACTATTTAAAAGTTTAATGTGAAGTGAAGATTTAATCCTCAGTGCTGATAGGTGAGGCTTATAAACCACAACTCACAAAGATGAAGGACGTTTGACTTCAAAAGTCAAAACAAAAAAGAGCATATGTTAGGAATAATATCCATCCAGAATTGAGCAATGACAAATTGCTTTTTTAAAATTCTAACACATGTACTATTATAAAATGCTTTCAGTTGATACACATTGGTAGCTTAATAAAGGTACTTACAAATGACCCAGTAAATTATTGGATAAATCCAAATACCTGCTGGATTTAATACATTCAATTCTGGAAATTTATTTTAAATTATTAGGAAGTAAATTACTTCTTTTTATTTTTATCCCTAATTGATTAGTGGTCATGAGAGTATAATATTTTGTGCTAAGTTGATGTTCCCAGTGTATGAACATTAGTCATTTTATATATTTAAGTTAATTTCAGGAAATGCTAAACATTTCTCAGTCTGACCAAAAAGCACTTACAAAAAATCTGAAGTTTGGTCAGATTTTGAAAGTGAGTCAAAGAAGTTTGTGTGTGTATTTTTAGTGCATGTGTAATACTTATCTATGTCAACAGAACAGTCTGTTATATACAGATGGGTGAATTACCTATCTCTATCTAGCAGACTCTTCTGGTAATGTTGTAGAAATAGAAAAGGCTTATATTAGAAATATTGTGTTAAAGGAACTCTTAAATTGCTCTGTAGATAAATACTTTGAAATTAAGATATCTTTAGAATTTAGTTTCATTTATTATGATGGTTTTCATTTTTTTTTTAATCAATTATTATATTTACTTAATTTTACTTTTTGTTCTGTTTAATATTCAGGAGTAACAAAGTTTTTTGATATTGCATCATAATTGCATTTAGAGGTAAAATTCAACCTAGATTTTTCAAATATTGTAAGAAATTCTTTCCCAATTCACAAACAGTGAATTTTTATCTGACTTAGTAAATCATTTTTATATAAAAAAAATTGTTTTGCTATTTTCTTTTCTTTAAATCATTAATATAACATTTTCAATACAATGAATTCGATAAGCACAGGACTGAGAACTAAGAAAAAGAATCAAGTATTTCCTTCCTTCTTAGTGAATTATAGAAATGAGCCTCACCTATAGAGCAGCATCAGAATTTGAACCTCAGGTTTCATAACCCTTCAAGTTCATTGAGTGACCATTCTCTAAACAAAATGAAACTTAGATGATGTGTAATCATCATAATTATGGATGACACAGTTGAGCAACCATTGTGGTTATTTAATAGTTGAAGCTAAAAGAATTTGATAAAGACTATTTTCTGTTGCATACAAATAACCAGTCAACGCACAAGTCAGTTTTACATTTGCTAAAATTCTGATTATTTTTATTTTTTTAAATGGATTCTACAGCAGGAATCATGATGTGTACTAAACCACTAATTTTTAAACGATAGCCTCAGTTTTCTTTTGCATGAAAGTGAAAGCCAATTTGATAAACTGATACAATGTATTTGTAATCTGGCCTTTTTGGAAGCTGCAATTGGGACACTTGAAATTTGGCTCACTGTATTTGATGATTGTATTTCACATTTTATGTTAAAAACAAAATTGAATTGTGATTGATAGATATTTTAAAACAAAGAGGTTTTCAATATTTACTGGGACACTAGCAATGTCATCTTGCCAAATCTTTCTTTCTCTTGATTTCAACTAAAAACAACAAAAACATTGGGTTCATCTAAATAACTGAACGTTGCAATGCTTTTATTATTGTCATTATGAAATTTAAGGGAACTGTTTTAAATCATTTCTTTTACAAAGTCTTTTCTTGTGTCTTCTTTATATACATTATTTCACATAGTCACATTTTTTTTTTTTATTAATCAGGTTTTATATGGTAAATTCCCTTTGAATAGTCTCCATTTAAAATTATACTGAAGAAACAATTGTAAATCTCATTAACATATTAACATTTGATATAAAGTGTTCATACACTTGTTTAATGATTGTTATGTTGGGAAGGGAAATCAACCTCCTCTCAGAAAATCTTCAATTTTAATGGATAAGCATTGATTTAATGTCTGCTTTTTTTTTTTTTTTTACAGGTTTTTAGGTATTAAGAAAATGTTCACTTAAGGAATTTGTCGTCTTCCATATGCAAAATAAAAAATTTCAAAGACTGCTGTTGGCATTGTTTTATCAATTTCCCAAATCCTCAGTAATTAATACAACCTGTAGGTAATGCTTAAATGCCAAGGGTTCAAAATAGAAGTCAGGTTCAATAAAACTGTTAAGAATGAATAATTTCAAGTAATTAACCCTTAAAGAAAGACAAAGATCACAAACTATAATTACCTATGTCAATGTAGGTTTCACAAAGTCAACCTCACTAAATTTGCAAATCTAAAATAAACTTTCAAGTTAGATACTGAAGTTATAAACATTTATCTATTCTTTTAAAAACAATTAAAAAAATAATTTCTTTCCCACAAGATAACTTAAACTGAATGTGTGTAAATATTTTCGTGATTAGTGTTAAAAAAATATCAACAGATTCTAAACCCTTATCAAAAGAAAAAAACAAACAAACAAAAAAACCCTCATTAATTTCCTAAGTTCTTTTTCCCTTAACCCTCACCATACTCTATAAAGAAATTTTGATTCATACCCGTAATACTTAGAGTATGGCTATGTAGTTTAACATTAGTAAAGTGTTTTTTTTTTGTTTTTTTTTGGTGGGGAATCTGAATTGGAAGACAAGCTTCATTTATTAACCAGACACTTTGAAATATAAGTAAACAACAATGTTACAAAATGTATCTTAATGTTGTTGCTGAAAGCATTTTTGATTGGCTATTTTACTCTGCTCTCACTTAGAAAAGTTTGGATTGGTTGCTTACAGTGAAATACATATTGTCCCAAAGTCATTTTAGTCCTTATATGGAATTTTTATTTTTTTTAACAAATCACCACTATAACTCCATGTATGCATGGTTGGAATAAAAGTTATTGATTATATCAATTTGGTCTTAAAAGTCCTTCTCAGCAAGATATATATATATATATATATATATATATATATATATATATATATATATATATATATTATTGACTCTCAAGCAAATTTCCATAGTGCCATATGAACAGTTATATTTGCATCATATTTAACTGACCTGATTTCAAATTTGCTCCTAGGAGAAATTTCACTAAAAAAAAAAAAAAAAAAAAAGGTATTATAGCAAACTTTACTGTGTATAAATGAACACACACAAACCAATAAAGAAATCCTTACATGAACAGACACAAATAAATTGCAATATAACTCAATAATTTGTCAATCAATGCACATAAAAGTTTTCAAACAATCAGTTAGTAAAGCACTGATTTGGAAAAAATAGTTTTCTGTTCATTTTCCAGTGCCAGGTAGGTGAGGCTAGTTAACCTTAGTTGATAACGCACCAAAGAGAAGGAAATTTCTGACTTCAAAATGAGGGTCATATTTATAACCTAATGAGTATTTAAGAAAGAAAAAGTCTCTAAGACAAAATGAGCATTGCCAGATTGTATCATTTTATCCTCAGCCCATCATGGAGGTGTTATTATTTTGGAGGTGTCAAAACAACCCGTAAGAAGTGAGCCAGTGACACAAACACAAGCATTTTCATAAGTGGGTAGGACAGTATATGAACTTTTGATACTGAAAATACATAGAAAATATAAGCCATCAACACAAGTTATTATTAATGATACTGCTTACAAGAGAGCGAGAGTTTCTCTCCTGTTTTGATTTCATCTGTCTGTCTGCACAGTGTGGGGTAATCCTACGAGGGATTTGATTTTGAATCAAAATGAACACTACTTATTCCTTCAACAAAAAATTAATCACCTCTCTGGACTCTTTCTCACTTTCCAATGCTTTCTTCCTTTCTTCTAAGTAGCCCTCTTGTATACTTTCAAGTTCGGACTTCATCAGTTTCTGAAAAAAATTAAAAAAAAAAAAAATAGAAGTAAAAATACATCAGAATAGACAAAACTAGGAAATCTAGATGTAGTTGTGAAAATTTTTCAAATTTCCATTTTCCACTTGTGTCACTTGATTTTTACTAAAACTTATCTGCACAGGGTCAAATGAGATATTACATATTTTATATATATATATATATATATATATATATATATAAAAACACACACACATACATACATACATACAGGGTATACGAAAAATACTTTTACAAACTTTGGTAGGGGGTGTATTCCTCACACCAAAATAAGGACAAAAGTCCATATAAACATATCTCCATAAATCCTTTTTTGAGTTATCAAATTTAATGAAATTTTATGTTAGATGGTACTGTGTTGCCATGTAGACTAGGTTACATTTTTCATTAGTGTACATTTGTGGCTAGTCTGTCTTCAACATTTTACATGTGTAGTAATGAGTTAACTGAGACGTGTTCTGTTTAACAATGGCAGGATATTCATATTGTGAACAGGCAGATATGATTTTTACATACAGCTGCATGAATTGTAATGGATGTGAGGCTGCATGGCTGTATCAGAATGCATTTCTAGACTGAAGGCAGCTGATTCATCCAACCTTTGCTACTGTTTATCATTGCTGAGTCAGGATCCATGGCACCACAAACTATGGATTGAGGAAGACTGAGATCGGCTTGTAGATCAGAATATGAAGAACACATTCTACAGGCTGTTGAAGACGATCCAGGTATCAGTACACGTCAAGTGGCTCTAGCATGTCATACATTTCATAGTACCACATGGAAGGTACTTCAAGAGCAGCTCCTGTATCCATATCATTTGCAATGTGTACAGGATCTTTCACCCTCTGATCACTCACCATGAGAGAACTTTTGCTGATGGTCTATTGCACAAAATGCTGATCTGTTATTTATCTCTTCAGTTTTGTTTACAGATGAGGCAATATTTGGAAGAGATGGTATAATAAATTTACACAACCAACATTTGTGGGCTGACTGGAATACCCATAGTACAATACAGGCTAGACACCAGCGTCAGTTTATGATTAATGTGTGGGCTGGAATTGTAGGGAGACTGACAGGTCCATATGTTCTCCCAGAACATCTTAAAGGAGCTGTCTATAGGGACTTTATTTCGAACAAACATCCAGACCTGCTAGAGGATATACCCATGCTAATACAAAGATGGATGTGGTTCATGCATGATGGAGCTCCAGCATATTTTAATCCCATTGTTTGCAATGTACTGGCTGATATCTACTATGAAAGATAGTCAGGAGAGGACCAATTCCATGTCCTACACATCCCCCCCCCGACCTCAATCCTTTGGATTTTTATTTATAGGGGAATCTAAAACAATTGGTTTATGCAACAGATGTTAATAATGTAGAGACACTTCATCAATGTGTCATGGGGGACTGTGAAACCATTTGCCAGCATGTGGAAGTATTTGAAAGGGTCTGCCAATCAATGATCTGACAGGTGCATGTGTGTGGAGAAGCAAGCAGAGGACATTTTAACATTTGTTATGAGTTGCTGCATTAAGATACAATGATGGCCATTTTACCTTGTTTTGTTGTCAAGAAAATACGTATATATCATTATCTCTCTTTCATATATATATATACATACATACACACACACATATATATATAGTAGAGTAGATAAGTTGGTCAATAAAAGAAAGTCAAACGAAAGGGTACCAATGAAATCAATACAAAAAACATTTATTAATATTAACCAGGTGACGAAAAAGAAACCCGGAGATTGAGGTTCCAAGTTCATAATTTTCAAACATATGTGTGTTCTTCATCAGCGAGAAAATTATCAGAGGGACAGTGGAAACTATCCAACATTAGTTTTTTTGAGGTGGGGAGAGTCTGCTGTTTGATTTCTCGTTGTGTGAAACTTAATGTGAAAATAACCATAGTTTTGTTTTTTGAGTTAGGATCAGTGTGGAAACATAGTAAGATTGCCAATAAAAGTAAAATGAAAGAGAAAAAGAAAAAAAAAGAGAGAAGAAAGAAATAGCACAAAAAAAGGGATAAAGAATTCTTTTAGGAAAATCATTGTTAGACAATGGGGGGTAAATAAACTGAGAAAAAAATAATACTAAAAATAAAGATAATGATAATATGAAAAGGGGAAGTGAAAAAAGATAAAAATAGATGTGTTGAGTATTGAATTAGGATCAGAGTGTAAAAAGGCAATAAAAATAAAATAAAAGAGAAAAAAGAGGGAAGAAATATGACAAAAAAGGATTAAAGAATCCTTTTGGAAAATCATTGTCGAAAAAAATAAACTGGAAAGAAAAAAAAAAACATAACAAAAACTACTAATTATAATGGTAATGATAAAGTGGGGAATAAAACATACAAAAAAAAAAAAGTGCTGTGAACATGAGTGCATCTGACAGTGTGTATATATACTAGCATCCAAAGTCCTTTAGGGACAATAATTAGTTGTTTGCGAGTGGTGAGAAAGGGAATGTCCGATCTTGTATGTGTAAGTTTCTTTAAGTTATATCCATGCTGTCTTCTTTTTCTAATATATATATATATATATATATATATATATATATATACACACACACACATTCTCAGGTATTATAAAAACAGCTCTTAATGTTATATAACAGAGCTATTAAGTATATATTAGTGAATATACATAATATTCCATATTGATAGCATGACTGAGTTTCATGCGAACATCCAATCTTTAGGTGCAAAATACTTAACTTAAGCATTATGAAATTTGTGTTCCTGTCATGTGGATTTAAAATCAAATGTTAAGACATGTTCATTTTATTGTTGCTGCCTATAATATTAGAATTAATTATTTATAATCTATATCATTCAAATTCTTAAGTTTGAAAGATGAAAAAGTTTAAAAAAAACTATTTTAAATAATTTTTAAAAAATTTGAATTTACATAAACACGCTATATATCAAGGGGGATAATTCCCTTTTTTTGCATAAAAAACGTTGTTAGTTGTAATAGAAATAATTGGTGCTTATTAAAATGTATCATTAAAGTAAAGTCTTATAGAATAAACTTAACTCTCATAATTATAGGTTAAGATTATATATCTAATGCATTTGGAACCTAGCCTTATACTTCCAAAGGTGAAATTACATATACATACAACATAAATTAATTGAGTACGATCTATGATATGGAATTACATATGTGCATACGTATATAAAAAAAAATGCTATTAATGATGGGTTCTATGAATATTAATAAGTGTTATATATTATATTAATATTTGTAAAATCGATTTTAATTGGGGTTAGTGTGGTTGAGCAGGTGTTTGGTTTTATGTATACATGAGACCATCAACTCACTTCTCTTGTTCAGTGATTATTTAAGTGTTTTAATATAAGCTTCTCCAACAAACAAATGTTACAATTGTCTCCCTTCCTATAGTAAGATTTAGCTTTCATGATTATCTCCCAGCTAATGGAAAGGTTCTTATAGTTGTTTTTTAATTACCAAAAAATACTTGAGTGTTGGGTAGCTTTTGTATTTAATATTGTTCAGCAACATTAGTTAATCTATTATTTATATTATCTTTCCTTAGCTGGTTTATATTTATTTTTTCTTCATTTTTTTTTTGTTCTTCATTTCTCTCTGGTTATATTTATTGTAAAGTTGCTTCCCTTAGACTGTATACATATTTTTTCAATTTTAACAGACTCATATCATAATTAAGTTTATATTTCATACCTTAGTTTATTTTTCAATACCTATCTATCAACATTCTATATTTTGAATTTATACCCAAATATATATTATATTTATAATAATCCTGAACTTTGAATCCATATACAATGTAGCATTGCTCCCATAAGACACAGAATTACAAAAAAAAAAAAAAAACTGTATTGAACAGTTCATAACTCTCAGTACCTTATGAATGAGAAAAGCCATGAGTTGTAGTGTTTAATTAATCTGTCATCTCCCTCTTACTAAGTTGTCCTACCTGTCCAATTTGGTTATGGATGAGAAGCTTATTGAGATATGATGTATTAGGACATGATGTCAGTTGTAAAGGGCTGCCATTTGATGTTCAAGATTCTCTAAAATACCTTTGATGAAATCTCTCCAAAGATTTAACAGAATAGCAGTCTGTGGTTGAAGTCTCAGAGGAATACATAAGGGTGGATAATATATATATATATATATTATATATACACACACACAATAAAATACATATAAACCTACCATTTCTTCTTTGAATGCTTCCTGAGATTGTTCTTTTTGCTCTTGCATTGCCTTTTCAATGGCTTTTTGATGTAAGCATTGTTCCTCCTACAAGAATACAAGCATTAAGATTATAAGTCAAAGTAAAATTTAATATATTTATAGATTAGAACTTTTGTAGCTTTCTCTAACAATTTTCTTGTTAAAATCTTTCAAATTAAATAATTTATCAAAATATCTGTAATTAAAAAAAATGCTATTTGTGCAGACAGTAGAATCAATGACCTGATTTCAAATTCCAGGTGTGTCTGCTGCATTCACTTCCACGAAAATACCTTTGGGAAATCCATAAAACCATTTCCTTTTCCCACAAGTTATTGGATAATAGGAGAATAAACTGAGTACCATAGATGTAGCTAGCAACCAGTCTAAGAGAAGGAAAACTGAATTCCAATCCCTGGAAAAGTCAATAGGAAACCATTCCATTATCATTCTTGGCAATTCAAAGATCATAAAGATTCAAGGAATCTATGGAAAACCATGATTACATACATCCTGAAGGTACATGGCAATAAAAAAAACATAATAAAAATCTCTTGAACATAAAAGATGAAGTCAGTGAATAAAGTGATAAAATAGGAATTGCATGTGACAAGAAATGAAGGCAATAAGTTAAAAAAAATTATGTCCATTTTATAATTCATATCCATGTACATGACCTCTACTAATCTTTGTAGTTTGACATTTTTGAGGTGTGAATAAAAATGTTCTTTTAAGCTTTTCTCTTGTGATATAGTTTTAACTGAGTCAAAATGACTTTCATTTTCAACACTATTGGTATTCTAAAAAGGCTACTCAACCTTTAGAACTCTGCATTATTCATAAATATATATCACTTCCATTTCCACTGTATATAGCAGCCCCTAAACAGCAGTAAATTAGTTCTTGATTTTAGTCAAAGTTATTTCCTTTTTGACATAGCAAGACAACAACTGAAATGTTGAGTAAAACACCTGCAGTGGCAGAACAAATTTTTTGTGCAGTAAACAAAGTTCAGTCAGTTAAGTGCCATACATGATACACACTTGAGTGATCATATATCTTTCAATACATGACTGACTAGGCAGATTTTTCCCGTAGTAGGTTGACATTTCTTTCTTTGCTAGACTGGTTGCCAGCCAAGGCTAAAGAACCCATTCTGTTCTGCTATTTAGCCCATAGCTGGGGGAGAAGAGATGGATACATATCTTTCTCTAGGGTATTAGTACATAAGCGAATCTAACAAACTCGACTGGACAAAGTTACAGAGTGTTAAAAGGTTAAATTATCAATAAAATTCTTTAACATCAATGAAATGGAATTGGAAGTACAATTTTTCTAACTTATGTCAAGTCTTTTGTATGATTGCATGCAAACACAAAGCAACAAGAGGAAATATATTTGATTTGCTTACTGGATTCTTGCATAAATATTTCCACAGCCGATACTGTGAATCTTATAAGATTAAGAAACTAGCCTTGAGAATCATGGGCAATAAATTGAAATTGTGAGGGTATTATTGTATTTTCATGTGCATAACACAAAAAAGTTTGAATGAAAATTAAAGGTAAAAAAGTGGGGTCATATACACAAGTACACATTTTCACAAATTTTTACTCCACTTAAAAAATCTCTTATTATTTTAAACATCGCAAAGATCGCAAATAAACTCAGTGAGCACAATAGATAAGCAGTATTTTTTTTTACTTTCATAGTTTATTTATAGAAATATAATAAAAGCATATCAAACAGAAAAGTCTGACAGATTAATTAACACCTTAAAATGTATTATCGAGTATGGCTAGTTAGCACCTTTTGCTGAAAGTAAGTTTGAAACGGAAATTAGAAGGAACATGCAATGGCTAAACATACGGTTCATTTCTATTCTTTAATATCATGAAAAATTAAAGATGTTAGTGAAATATATGTACAACATTGAGTTTTTAATGGATAATATGTTAAAACTTTTTAAAAAAAATTATTACATAGGAAAGGCTGTACTATGGGGTTTCAAATTATTCCCCATTTTTAACTTCAGAAAAACAAAGTTGTACTATACACAAGAAAATACAGCAAAAAATAGTCTTGGATTCCTGCGTATTGATAAATATTGATTTTACCCTTATTCATAGTACCAAAAAAAAAAAAAAAAAAATAAAAAAAAAAAAAATTTACTGACCTTTTTTTGCATATGATTAAAAGAAAAGTTTGAATGCAATTTAGCAGTGAGATTTCTAAGTAAATATTAGATGATTAAATTTTGGGATATTTTCTAGCTTTTTAGCAGATGAGTTTTGCATTTTCAATGAACAAATCAATTTTAAATTTATTTAATTCTTTAAAAAGAGACAAAGATAGAAAAATAAAATTTATTTGATATGTGATTCTCTTTGAAAGTCACTTTTTAAAGGTAAATAAGAAATGCTAATATTTCTTTAGTAAATGGTCTCATTAATCTCTTCCTAACTTTCCAAAGTGATACAAGTAATGGTTCAATTGTTAGAAATCTTACTTTTAAATTTTTGGCATTGTTAAATTGTTCTTTCTTTTTTTATATCATTTAAGGAAAAGCATTGCAGTTTGATGACACTTTTGATTGATAAAAATAAGCCTTACCATCAAAACTTTTTGCAGAGCTGCCTGATACCGGTTTTGTTCCATTTCAAAGTAACTTTCAAATTCCCCCTGAAAATAAGAATAAGTAAAAAGGCTTTTACTGTTCATGGCTTAGTTTCAAAGCCAGTGCAAAGGGTCTTGTAGATCCTCACATTCATATAAAATATAAATTTTTATTCTAACCTAATTATCTACAGTAATGGATCATATGCAATATAGGTGAACAATTCAACTAGAAAAATGAAAAATAAATACAATGTATCTAAATACAAATTAGAGACCCATCATAATAGACCATTCTATCTTGAATAAATCAGTAATGTTTTCTGGCAATTTTTAACAACATCCCGAGATTTTTCTTATTAAAAAGTTGAATTTTAACACAATTCAAAATTATCAATAAAGAATAGTGAATTTTATATTTGTGTTATACTGAGGATTAGTATGAGCAAAACAAGTTCATGCATTTGGACAAAAAAAAAAAAAAAAAAAATTTCACAATTACATCAAAATCCACAATTTTTCATCCTTTAATAATCAGTTGTGCTGAGTTTAATTTGTAACATATATAAATATAGGTAGAAAAAAAGTGTATGTTGATAAGATAGTGATAAAAAAAGCAGGTATTCATTTTATCTTCTATGCAGTAATATATGAACATAAAATGAAGAAAACATGTGAATTTCAAAAAGGTGGTAAGTCAATTAATGTCATTTAGCATTTAACAATTACTGAAAATGTTAATTAACATCCTCTGATGCTGAACATGTTGATCTCAATGAAGCGCAATTTGCAATGCATGTATGGGGAAGGTCAGAGGGGTATCCTTATGTATACATATGAGGGGAGGGCAGAAGATACCATAATACAGTGGCAGGGGGCATGGTGATATTGTATGTATGACTGAGAGTGGGGACAGAAGTGTATTGTAATACATGTATGGTGAGGAAGGGGGTGGGGGGTATGCAGAATTGTAAGGCATGGGAGTATCATAGTTTGTTTTCTTCAACTTTATATGGAAGGAATTCATTTTTACCCTTTGTATATTCTTGTGCTCATCAAGAGCATTCTTCATTCGGCTTTCATTCTCTTCTTTTTCCCGTTTAAGGACATCAGACAAATGGTCATGCTAAAATACAAAAAACATTTTCATATTAAAGCTACTGTAACAATTTTTTTAGAGGAGTAATGGACTTATTAATCTAAACAAGTAAGACTGAATACATTTACTGATTTCAATTGAGAGTAACACTATATAGCTGGGTGTGCATCTTATTTTCATTATTAAATGTAGCACTGCATGCAGTATGTCTTTCTGTGGTAACTTCAGGAAGTAAGAATCTTTGGTCACTACATCAAATGTAGCAACATGGGTGGGAGTGACTGATAGTTGTTATAAACACATATATGATAGGAGTTGATAGGATGGAGTTAATGTGTGTGTGTGTGTGTGTGTTGGGTTGATTGACCAAGGTCATGGTGATAGTGTTGAGAGCTGGCTGGTGGGGTATTTCATTGAAGACCTCATTCACCACGATTGTTTCAGTCATTATGAGCGGTGTTCTTAGAAAAAAAATGTGGTCGCTCATAAACTCATCTTTTTTTTTTTTGGTAGCAATGTTCATGATTAACTTCTTTTATAATTGTATATTTTTTGAGGGGATTTGTTTTGTGGGCTGGATGTGATGTCCAGAGCTCTTTAGTTTTTTATTTTTGGTTTTGATTTCTTAGCATTTACACCCAGTTGACATGTAGAGTGAATCAGAAAGATCTAATTTGAAGCAGCATATCCTCAGTTATCCTCATCACTGATCCAGTGACATTCTAGACAGGAGACATTTTCACCTATGTTCTGTTTAAGATCTGAAGAAGTCTCTCACTCAGGGTTGAAATATCGCAAACCCAAATCAAACATGTATCACACAAAACTAAATGTTGATGAATTTCCAAAATCTTGGTATAAAGATAAAGAAGACCAGAATACCATGACAAGGTTTTAATAAAATGTAGTTTACTTTACCTGTTGATTACATAAATAATTAGTGAGTTACTTCCCCACACTTCCAATGCTTGACAGCAGAATGCCATAGTCTGCATTCTGTATTGCTCACTTACAACTATGAGGAGAGAACCATATTTATGTGCATCAGTCTGCTTGTTGTGTCCTCTTTTCAAAGGTTGGGATGTTAATTTTAGCTACTATGTCCTGCTCTTCCTCTGTGTGTGTGTGTGTGTGTGCATCCCATGTGTGTCTCTTCTTTGCCTGTCTCTGTGTTACCCATTAAATTGTACTGTCTACCTGCATATACAGAACTTAACAGGCTAGCAGGTCACTATTTATTTATTGGTTGCTCAGAGTCTACATTATTCCAGAAAGTGAAAAAAAAAAAAAAACGGTACTAGTCAACTGATATATGTACATGATAATATACGATATGAATTTCAGCTTACATGTTACATGTTTTCATTAAAAAAAATTTACAATAACTTATTTGGAGGTATGAGTTTTTATTATAAAATAAAATTTAATTATTTAGAACTTGAGAGTTGTTCATCACATTGTAAATATAATAGCATAGTTATTGATATTTATTTTTAAATTTCATATATCAATGAAGATTGTCATGGGTCATAAAGAAAGACATAAAAGAGAAACAAGATACTGTAAAGCACAATGTTTGAAATAGTGAAAAATTTAAACAGATATCATAGAACAACCAAAAATGAAATTGAAAATGCTGCCAAAGAACAAATAAAAAAAAAACAAATAACTGCCTTTAAGAATGTCACAAAAAGAGATTTGAGAAAAAGACACTGGAGTTATGAATGTAAACAAAGATGCAGAATAATAAGAACATTGGCTAAAAACATTAAAGCAACTAAACACTTTTAAATAATCAATACAAAGAGAAACACATAAAAACCAATTTCTCAACAATAATTTTATTGCTGAATATAGAGCTACATTGGATGGATCTGGACTAGTAGTTAGGTCCATGATGTCAACCAACATGAATTGGAAAACAATAGGTGGGTAGTTGAAGTAATGTTTTGGGCTTGTATTGTAGGCAGTAAAATCATAGATCATTTCAAAGCTGATGATTATTTAAAATAAATACTGAGAATTAATCTAAGTTCCTGGACAAGATATTTTTTATTGGCACAAGTCATGATCAAAATAATGCTTCTTTACAAACTGCAAAGCTAACTCTCAACCCCAACAAAGTAGAAAACTTGTAGCTCATCATAAAAAAGATGCATATGATAATGAAAAACAATATTCAAGTAAAGTTCTCTGAGAAAGAAAAACTGCTACAAGTAAAAAAAAAAAAAATAAGCAAAAATCAATGATTGAAAGACTGATGATTGTTATAGAATGTCAAAGAGCCTGTATTAAAATAGTAAATGATAATTTATTCAGATATATTGAATGCTGAGTTAACCAAATATATGTTTCTATATCTTTAGATTTATTTATAAATACAAATTTACATAATACTTAATATGTTTGAATATCAAAACTTGACGTTGTCAAAACAAGTTTAGATTTATAATAAGGATAGATATTATATGCTGAAATTCACAATACATTGCTCATATAAATATATCCTGAAAGTTTTACCAACATCAGTTTAATGAAATCCTCTTGCTTATTTTAGAAGGTCAGTAGAAATGACGTTTCCTATGATCCGAGTTACTAGAAGGGCTGGTTAAAATCCCCAAATTGTATTTTGGTATTGTTTTTCTTTTTGGAAAATCTGGAGAAAGAAGCTTCCTGTAATGTGACATTTTTCTAAAGTGCTTGAAATCCTCTTGTAATGGCTTGAACAGAAGAGCATCTAACCATCCTCTGGTATATTATGACATTTAAGGGGGTGAGAACCTGTCTAGAATTTATCCATCTTTGGTTTGAACTACCTTCAGAGATAGTTAGGGTCCAACTACATATTTTTCTTTATGGAATATGTAGAGTTCCATGTTTTATGAAATATTAATATTGTGTACTTGCTTTGTTTTATTTATTTTAGTTTTTAAAAATTGTTTTAATTGATTGTTCTGTAGTTTTGTTGTAATTTATACAATAAAGGACAAAATTTGGTAGGGGAGGAGTGTAGCAATACAATTTTTCACATATTCTTAATAGATAGATACTTTTTCATTTTAAGTCAATTTAATGATCCAGGTTTCTTAGGAATCTTGTCTCCAGTTCATCTTTGAGTTAATTTAACCGTTACCACACTGCAGGTGACAATTGTTGCTGTTTATTTGCTTGTTTATTGATATAAAAGAGAACAAATATAGATAAGAATCTGACAGAATGAAAGGATAAGAGACAAATAGGAAACATGTTTATAAATTCAACAGGTTTTGCTTTTCTTTAAGCTTTATAAGAAATTCTGGGGAAATTAATTATAGAAGAGAAAGTTCCAGTATTTTTAGTTGTATGTTATTTCTCATTGGCCAGGTAAAACTTGTGTGTCTTGTGATGTTAATGTGTGTGCGCACTTGGATTCTAGTGGGCATTTTGTGTCAGTCTGATAGTGTGTGTGTATAATTCCTGAAGATGGTAGTGAGATGTTGGTGTGCCTCTATGTTTGTGTATCATATTTTTAGTTGGTCTTGCAGGATTTGGGTAATAATGTGTGTGTGTGTGTGTGTGTGTGTCTCTAGTGGATATATTTGTTTCTATCTGATTGTGTCTGTATGCTGATTGGGGGAATATTTGGTGTGAGAGTGAAATACTTAGGATACATCAGCTGCAAGTATGTGAAACAGATATATATATATATATATATATATTTATCTATCTCACATTTATCCAACCAAAAATATATATATATATATATACACACACACAGAGCAATCCAATTTCTCACACATCTCTAGAAGACAGACAGATTCTTTTTCCTTTTAAGCCAATTTAATGAACCAGATTTCTTAGCAATCTTGTTTCCAGCCCATCTTTGAGTAAATTTAATGACCAGGAATTTTCAGGAATCCAGTCTCCAGCCTGCCTTTGAATTGGCAAACATAACATTTTGTTAGTGATTTTAGATAATCATAAAAGTAGAGTCCTTTGAAAAACTGACTACCCAAAAACTGAATTGGTGGTCTCCTTTTCCAGGACACAAGTAGACAGAGAGGGGTGATGGGACCCCAGCCAATATCCATATAATGAATTTGGAAGTCAGTGAGAAAAGGACTAGCAGTGAGTAAGTCAGCAGTCACTGAGACTGTCAGGCACTGAGTGTAAGGGTCCTTTTTTTGTGGTCAGCAGTCAGTAGGAGGACCTTGCTGAATAAATGAGAAATCATATTGTTCGATACTTCCCAACCAGTGTCTTGAAAAGCATTTGCAATTATTCTTTGCTGAATTTGATCGTGGCCAGTGAGACAAACCTGTGAACATAGTGAGCCATATGTATAATGCACACACAGCCAAACTTGGATGTCATCACAGCTTGTGCAGTGACATGCAGAAAGGGATTGTCTCACACACATGCAAACACACACACCTATATATTAGTTAAAATCAAATGTGAATCAGAATCCAGCAAGAGGATAAGATAAAGAACAATTTAAGATTATAAAAAAATCATTTAAATGATTTAAAATGTTTTTCAGTTTCTTTTTAGAAAGTCTATAGAGGTACCTAGAATTTGTGATGCGTAAAAACAGCATCAATTCTCACCTGTTCTTGCAACATCTGAGCATACTGATCAGCTTCATTTTTCAATTTTTCTTTGAGATGTGACTCAGCCACCTCCTGTTGCTGCAGCATAGCCGTCTGACACAAAGTCTAAACAAAGAGAAAACATTTTAGAACAATCAAAAATCTTTTTTCTTCTTTATTTTTATTTTTTTAAAAAACTGAATGATAAAAAAAATGGAACATTTAATTTTCCAATTTTTTATGCTTCTATACAACCAATATAGGGTATACAAAACAAAATCTTTCAAAATAAGCTTTCAGTTGTTAGATAAAGCAAATGGCTTTTTTCAATTTATGGATCTTGTAATTTTTCAATCATCATCATCTGGAATATTTTCTTATATAATAACAAATATTAAGCGTTAGAAAAAGTGAGTAAAAATGTGTTGGTTATGCTACTGGCTAAATATATTGATATATGTAAAGCTGAATATCATTGAAATTGTAGCAATTTAGATTCTCAATACGCATAGGTGTCAATAACCATTTTTTGGGCTATAAAATTATTTCAAGGGGTTGAAGGATCCTGTCTTTATAGGGGAAGATTCCTTTTGAGCAATGTGTATAATATATCAAACCCCTTTTGGCATATTAAATGGTTACAATTCAAAATTTAGATATTTAAAGGGAAAGAAAACAAAAACAAGATTTCATGAAATTATTACTTAAAATAAAGTTTTCATGGCATTATGTCACAACTATATAGAGGATGATCTACAGGAAAACCAATCTTTCTTTTTGTAACATCCACATAAACACATTATGATCTATATTACAGTGCATGTACATGGTTGAAACTTTGAAACATAAAACCTTACACCAACCCAGTTTTTGTGTGAATATGGTGAAAATTTAGCAACTTCCATGAAGCTATCTTCACAATGTCATTTAAGCCAACTTTTCCATTTTAGAAAAATACTCCAACTTATTGTTTCTGTTATAAAAGGAAAAAAATTAAAAACTGTAGTAAACAGAATGGTTTTGCCTTCCCCTACTTTTAGAAATAGACTCAGCCACATGAAATGCATGATGTAAGAGGCAATATTGCTATGACAGACATGGGATGCAGATAGGATACAATATTGTTTGACCATGGAATGATTGATGAAGCCAGAAAGATGGGGGCACTATTTCAAAGGTAGCAACTGCTCAAGGTTTTTCTTAGGCAACAGTAGCAAGGAATAGAAGAGGAAGATGTGAATTCTGGAGACATCAGTGATACATGAAAACTGTGGGCACCCACAAATGATACAAGAATGAGACTGCTGGCAACTGACAAGAATATTAACCAGCTACAACTCAAGGGCATATAGCACTAAATCACATCCAATTCAAAATTGGTTCTGCTCAACTTACCAGAATACACTGCATTCCATAGCATTTGGGACTTGCTGATCAATAAGGGTATCTTTATTAACACTACAGTATTGATTACTATGCCTTACCTGGGCTAGAGAACATTGTTATTGGACTGTGAAAGAATGGTCTAATATAAAGAAGTAAAAAAAGATATTTATCAGATGTGAATAAGACTGCATGACACTATAGATCCAATAGACATCTGTTTATATTTCTGAGATGAGGTATTGTAACTATAGGGTATGATGGATAAATTGTTATGCAAATTATGCAAAAATGAAAATAACACTGACATCTAATTTTAACAGATATATTTGCCAAAATTGCACAAAAATATCTTTAAATACTAAAGAGTAAATTTATTCAATAAAATCGCTATCGACTTCAACCATGGCCTCCAGATGACTTTGAAGTCTCCTGCAATTCTTCTAGACGGTCTCCTGGTTTAAGTTGGTGAATGCTGCCATAATCCTTACTTTCAGTTCATCTTTGGTATTACAAGGAGTTTTGTTGGTCTCTTGCTCAACTGCACCCCATATGTAATAATCAAGAGGATTGCAATCTGGGGAGTTAAGTGGCAGGATGTACGGGGTGATGTGGTTGCAGAAATTGTCTGACAGCCATGATTGGGTTCTCCTGCTCGTATGGCATGGTGCAGAGCCCGTTGCCAGACAGAGTCTTCCAGCAGCCCCTCTACTGACCCAGGGCAACACTATCTCCTCAAGAAACTTGATGTAGGCCACCATGTCGAGTCTGAGGCCTTCACCAACAAATTTGGGAGTTCTTTTCTTATCAGAATGAGCAGAGCGAGTTTTCTGAGCTGCCATAACTTTATAATCACCATTAGACTCATCCAACTCTTCTGCACTGACCTCAGATTGACACCGTAACACTCTGAAATGTTCGTATTGGAGCTTCTGCATGCTGTTTCCAAATTTCTGGCAGAGTGAAGTGCATCATGGTGCACTTTTTCTCACAGACGGTGCCCAACTGACCCTACTATACTATGAATTTGACAAAATCAAAAACAGACAACATGCATGCACAAAATTAAAAATATAATATGCAACAATTTACGCATCACACCTTGAATTTACACTATTTATGGACACATGGCTCAGTGGATAAAAGGGTTGGTTGAAGTAATCCAGTGACTAGACCCAAAGATTTGGGAGTTGAACAAAAAAGAGGTTAACAAAAAACTTGGAGAATTCCGTTACTAAACGGAAATACCTGAAACTGTAATATCTGGAAGAGGCATGTGGAACTAGAACAATCTATCCCAGTGGACCACATAAAAGGTTCAGTTCAAAATTCCAATGTATATCACCTGAAGAAGGCCAGAGTGTACATTGACTGAAACATTATGAATATGACAATAAAGATGAGGATAACAGTTTGAACAATGTAAATGGATCTAGTAGAGTATTGTGAAAGCTGTAATACTAACTCTGTAATGGTGTGGAATGTATTCTGTTCAAGTTTGTAAGGGCTGCTAGTGAAACTGGAATCTGCCTTGACAAGCATGATATAAAATCATCTACAACACTTTACAAGTTCCATGTTACTTAGTGGTAACAGTTTTCAAGAAAATGCATCTCCCCATTATGTGTGGAGGACGTGAAACTAGTTTTAAGAATACTTGGCTGACTTCCAGTTACTTCATTGAACACCATCCTCACAAGATTTTAAACCCCATTGAGATATGTTGCAAACCTTGCTACATTCATTTCAGTAATATCTAACAAACACAACTCAGTGAAATGTGTGTAGATATACAACTCATTATTTACACAAAAGGAAAAGTTACATGTTATTAAGTAGAATTTCTTAATTTTCTCACACTTCAATTTTTAATAATTAGCTGGAAAAAAGTACTTTTGTGTTCATTTCCATTAATATTGAATAAATTTCCTAAGACACTCCATGAGAATGTTAGTCTAACTGGATAACTGAATTGCAAGACAAAAGCAAAGCTCAACACAAACTCACTTTGTATTCTTCCACAACCACAGCAAGGGCGTCATGACCAGCCTGTCGGATCGCTTCTAAGTCAGAAGCATGTTTGGCCTAGAATTAAAATCATACAAATATGAGTGCTTTAAGGAACAGAGAAATAGAAAAATAAAAACAAACAAGATGAAATGAGAAAATACATTCCTGAAAGAAGACAAGTCTGCTGTTGGTGATTAATAATCTGTTGAATTAATACAACACAAGGAATCAAATGTAAAAACAAGTTTCTATTTCTTAAGATATACAGTGCAAACTATCACATATCAAGTTTTATAATCTTTTCATGAATGAATGACTAGTTACTTGCTGTCTCTCATAATAGTAAAAACTAAATCAAATATCAACAGCTAACTTGGTCATGTTTCTAATATCTTTAGATTGTTAATTCTCCCTCACCTGTCAACACATCAAATATCTCTATACAAGTGGAGAAGTGGATTCAAATGTCATTCACCCAACAATGTATCAAATAATTTCAAATTGGTAATTGCTTTCTCTCTTAATACATATTCAATATCATCAGATCAAATAAATAACCCCCCTGCTTGCATTCAATATCTTTTGGGAATTAAAACCACTGATACTTTTATGGATTTCTTTTGAAATGAAAAAATATTGAAGCCATCAATTTTCAGTTTTGATTAAAAAAAAATGAAAAAATATGCATTTGGTCTTTTCTGTGACATCTTGACAATAATTCTTTGTGGAAAAAAGCACCATTTCCAAATCTTGGACAATGTATACAACAATGCATTTTAAATATTGACCTTATAAAATTCTGAAATCTCAATACTCTTAGTTAATAGTCTACAGGATTTGATCAAAGTAAAAAAACCCAAAAAGATGCAAAATTACTTGGGATTTGTTCAAGTGTCTTTCTCTACAAACTACTACTTGAAAAATAAAATAAAAAAGCATGTCATTTGATTTTAACTAATGGCATTTCTGATTTCACTTAACTTTTTACTTGATGCAAAAAGTGTCACTTGTGAACTATACAATATTGTTTATTCCACCAAATACATAGTGAAGCAAAGGTCTGTAACGACACCAGATGGTAGTGGTAGACTTACAGTAGCAAGTAATTTTTTTATGAATTCAGGTTGCTACGTCGATGAACAATAGCTCTGACTTTACAGAGCTACTACCCAATTCATTTATTCTGATATTTACTCATAGCTGGTAGGAGAAGTGGATTCATATTTTTCCCAAAGATATAGGCAAAATACAGGACTGAATTAGACAGTTTCAGATACTGACATTCTTTTCTCCACAAGAGTATATTTATTCTTTTTCCATGCTACACAAAATATTAAAAATAAACAACAGAATTATAATATATTAAAGGCTATGCTGGTTAAATAAAGTGGCTACTTTGGTCATCAAACTCAAATGGATGGAAAAATTAAGAAAAGACGTACTTGAAGAGCCTCATATTTTGTCTTCTGTTCAGATAGCTGGGTTTGTAGGCCATCCACTCGAGAAGTAAGTTCAATATTCCTAGCACGGAGTTCATCCAATTGTTTCTGAAAGAAGTAAAACAAATATACAAATCTAAATTATCATTTAGCTATCAACTTTGATTTTGCCTAACCAAGTATTTTATATTTATTCTTTACAATGCTGAGAAAGCAAAATAAAAAACCCTGAAACACTAGAGACTAAGATACCAATACCAAGTTAACATTCAAACTTAAATCCTAAAATAATCAGATTTTTAGCAGTGATTGTTCAGAATTACAAAAAAGTTTTTTTTTTGCTTAGCAACATATGGACAGATATAGAAAGTGTTTACATTGTTAATAAAAAAAAAAAAAAATTCTAGCATCATTGAAAGTATTTATTGTATATTTGACAGTTTTAATAATGGACAAAGTTAAAAAAAAAACAACACAAAAAAACTATTGAATAGTGTTTTAAAAGAAAAAATATCAGATGAATAATATGACACCTACTACCATAAAACAGTGTGAGAAGAAAAAGTAATTAATTTTCAAAGAAATTCCTTTACATTCATTAAAATTCACCTTTAAAACAAGCAATGTTCTCAAATATGAGTGCAATTACAAAACTACACCAAATAAAAATAACAAAAAACCAAAAATAGTTATAAAGAAAAAGCTAAATATAATCTGATTTAAAAAACAAAAAGAAAGCACTTGAGAACAAAAAATGCTTAATAAGTGTAACCTGAGAAAATCAATTAAAATGTGTAAAAATAAAAATAAAAAATTCAATGTAATAACACTTAAGTGACACACTCACAGAATAGATAAAAATACAAAATAGTTTTTAAAACTGCTAGAGAGAGAGAGAGAGAGACACCTGAAGGGATATGATAGACAGGGAGAGACACAAACACACACACCTGGAAGGATACGAGAGAGAGGCACATCTGGAAGAATATGTGAGAGAGGCACATCTGGAGGAATACGAGAGACAGGCACATCTGGAGGAATACGAGAGACAGGCACATCTGGAGGAATACGAGAGACAGGCACATCTGGAGGAATACGAGAGAGAGAGACAGGCACATCTGGAGGAATACGAGAGAGAGAGACAGGCACATCTGGAGGAATACGAGAGAGAGAGACAGGCACATCTGGAGGAATACGAGAGAGAGAGAGAGACAGGCACATCTGGAGGAATACGAGAGAGAGAGAGAGACAGGCACATCTGGAGGAATACGAGAGAGAGAGAGAGACAGGCACATCTGGAGGAATATGAGAGAGAGAGAGACAGGCACATCTGGAGGAATATGAGAGAGAGAGAGAGAGAGAGAGAGAGAGACATCAGACCCTCCAATAGACAGAGTAGATAGGTTCCAGGGAAAGTGTCAGAGAAAATGACCAGAAAGACTCACTAATAAATAACTATCCCTCGATCCATCAGTATGGTCCCTCCGCCGCCTCTCATGATTCTGCACGATGGGCACACCACCAATAGCGCCGCCAAGGTCCTCAATCATCGACGGTTGCTGCAGCTGTTGATGATGCTGGGCCGGATGCTGTTGCTGCTGCTGCTGTTGGGGAGGAGGCTGGGGTTGTGGCGGCTGCTGCTGCTGCTGCTGCAGGCGTTGGTCAGCAGGCACATAGTGCTGAGGTCCGTTTATGACATCGTCAATGCTAGGGCAGCCTGAGGATGAGGACCCGCGGCGCCAGGCTGCTGACTGGTTGAGATCGGGTACCTCAGGCATGGGCATGCCATCGTGACTACCATATGAGTTGGAGGGACGTCGCCAGCTTGGACCAGCCGGACTGACTAGGTCCACACCGGCCACACTGTTATTGAGGTCACAATGTCGGGACTGGTGTTCAACTGGAGGTGCTGCATTAAACATTCCATTCATCATGCCTGATTGCATTCCATGTCTGTCCACATTCAGATTCTGTAATTTAAGACATAAACAATAATTTATAAATATTTTCTGCTTGAAATAATTTGTGCATAAAAACTAAATATGAGAAAGTGTACCAATTTTTCTTAAACTCTCATATAATGCAGATGCTGATGCATAGCACTGATAGATTTGTCATGCTTCTTACATTTTCTACACAAACTGTTGACTGCTCGACGAGCCAAAGCAGACTGTATAAATACATTTTCAACACATCGGCTCCACAGATACATCCACTTTAACCAAAATAAAATGAACAATATATTATGACCACTCCCGCTTAAAAACGAAAACTTACTTTTGAGCCAGTTGATGGTTATATATATTCAAATTCAAACAGACAAGCATTTGATGTCAACGCTAGCAAACTGAGAGAGAGATGCAACACAGATCAGTGTTTGATATCAACACTGACATGCTGAGAGAGAGATGCAACACAGATCAGTGTTTGATATCAACACTGACATGCTGAGAGAGAGATTCAACACTGACATGCTGAGAGAGAGATGCAACACAGATCAGTGTTTGATATCAACACTGACACACTGAGAGAGAAGTGGCACCAATGATGACAGCCATCACCAATGAAAATAATAAATGAATTACTTTGTGTTCTATTCCTAATATGCAAAGATACACTATGATAGAACTATGAATCTTGTTCTTTCATAATTCTTGAAAGAGTTTTCTAATAAATGATCTCCCTCACAAACAAACAAAAAACAATTACTCTATAAACATTTAGCCAGCCTCATATACCATATCTGTGAATTGTCTTTATTAAAGAGATGACAAAAAGATTGGATGGCACTCAGAAACAAGTGAATTTAACCAACAGCTAAGGAAAGCTGATGAATATATAAGTTGAAACACAGATGAAAATGACTACAGGTTTGAATAATGTAAGAAATAATGGAAAAGCTTCAGCTGAGAATTTCAAACAATAGTCAAGAGAATTAAATTTAAATTACCTGGCCAATATCTGGTAGAAGGTTGGCCTCAAAATGATTGACAACAGACCCCCCTCCAGGAACACTGCCATCTGCTGCTAACCGATCATGGACAGAGGGAGGTGAGTCCAGGTGCCGGGGAAATGTGTTCTGTGCACACAGCAGATCAGGCTGAGAATGGGTTGGACGTTGAGACATATCTGAAAGAAAAAAATTAAAAAAAACACATACACAAATATTTATAAAGAACATGGTATTCCAGTTTTATAAATCTAGTGTTTTAAGCATTTGGCCTGCATTGGCAAATTCTTATTTTAGGTGTCAGTGTGCATTTGTGTATGTGCGTGCACAGGATAAAAGGCTGTAAATGAGAGAGCAATACAGGAAAGGAAAAAAAAAACGAAAATGAAGGAGAAAGATTACTAACAATGCTAACACAAGTGAATCCTTCATTTTATTTATACAATAGGATCAAGGTATTTCTTTTTAAATTAATATTTTATTAACAATAACAAAGATAATAGAATCTATTTTTCAATTACATAAAAGATTGTTTTGCAATTAACTTCCAAGTGAAGAAAACATTTCTGCCTTGAAAATTGGTATTCAATATCCCAGCTTTTACAATCAGTGATGGTGTCAGAAATGAAATAATATATATATATATATATATATATATATATATATATATATATACTAGCATCATGGCCCAGCATTGCCCGTGCTTGATTCAAAAATCGTACGACTCATACAGCAATTGCTATCACTTGACTTAAAATATTTTTGCTCTTCCTTGACTTTAAAGGAGTGCCCTTTGCCTTGCTGATGTTGCTACATGCCTTACTTCTTGCCTATCTCACACTGCAAATTTTTTCTAAGCTATATACTAAACATTAAATCTGTTACGAAAAAGGAACTAAACAAAATGAACACAAAATGATCAGCTTTAAAAAAGGACTTGTAACTGGAAAAACCGAATGAAAAAAGAATGTTAACAACAAATACTTTTTCACACCCAACCCAGTTCTGCGGAATTAGAATCAACGTTGAGTTTAAGCAAGCATATGAGCCAATTGGAGTAAAGTGCGATGCAGATTTAAATTTTTCCCACTTGTGACGAATGCAGCTATCGATTTTTTTTGCATGCTAGTTAACATTCAAATCAGTCAGCTGTTGGCTCTCCAATAGAATCTGGCCAATAGAATCTTTCTGCCTAATCGTGGCATCCAGCTATAGGCTCTCACTCTGGCCAGTACAAAATGGCCGCAAACTACATGAAAACTGGCGTAGAAGCATGAAAAAAAATCGATTATTTCCACTATCCATGGGAGTTGGGAAATGCAAAGTCGGTCTTGGCCTTCCTGCTAACTTGGAGCATGTGCATGTAAATTTTGGTGCAAATCTGTTGAAAATTGCGGCTGTGCATTCGTTACACACACACATCCTGCCTTTTATATATATATATATATATATATATATATATATATATATATACACACAAACATCCTGCCTTTTATTAATATATATATATATATACACACACACATTATATAAGTCATGGGGTAGGTGACAAACATCAGCCAAGTGAAATGCAGCAACTTGATAATGGCAACAATTTCACAAGAGGTCAGAAGACGTCTAAGGAGATGTTGAGCCATACTGTCTCAGTAGCTGTCCACAGCACCCTGATAGGTGCAAGATCTGACATATGTCCCTTGAATCCTTGATTGGGCTCAAGTCAGACATTTGTTGGAAATTTCCAGAATGCTCCTCAAATCAATTGACATGCACATGCACTTTTATGAAATTATGTAAGTGGGGGTTAACAGATATAAAAAAAAAAAAAAAAAGAAAAATATTTTTAAAAAAATTCATTCATTTGTGAATAAATCGTGAAAGTTTCATTGTAATCCGACAATTATTTAATTTTTGCAAGAATTTCAAAATTGATGTTTTTCAACAGAAACGGAACCACGGAAATGTCCATTACAAGAACTGTTACACTGATGACAAAAAAAAAAAAACCAAGATTTTTAACACAAATTTCGAATGTGTTAGAAAAGAGTAAAAAATAATTAAAAAATACTTTGGTTTTTCCTTTTAGTAATAACAAACATTTTGACAATAAAACTTTGTTTTTATTAACTTTGAGGCTTTTTTTCATCATGGTATGCTCTTTCTTCATCAAATTATTGGAGGTGCCTAATATAAAGTTTATGGTAGGTGTTGCCACCATTCCATGGCATCATGGAAATACCTATACCAGTTGTGTGCTAACATCTGGTGGGTCAGTATGAGCACTGACTAGGCTACATATGGGAGGTGATGTGAACTATCAGAGTTTGAACAGAGCTTAATGATGAATGCCAGGCAGGTAGGACATTTGATTTCTGAAATTGTAATGGGGACATATGGTATTCCTCAATTTACGGTGTTGTGTGTACCAGGATTGCCTCATGGAAGACATTAGCACCTATATCATAGACATCACAGTGGCCAACCACTGGTCCTTAATGTTTGTGATCAAAAGCATTTGGGCAGAATTTTTTGCAGTAACAGACAAGCAATGCTGACTCAAATCATATCTGCATTCAGACATATTTCCAGCAGGTCAGTTCATTATTTTTTCATGTGATATAGGAGCAGAAATCCCCCTACCCATGGGCTTTTATCATCATAAAACCTGATACAGTACCTCACCTGAGCTTGTAATATTACTAAATGAACTAAGTGTGTGTGCATGTGCATACACACACTCTCTCTCTCTCTCTCTCTCTGATGAATCAAAGCATAATGACCAGCAGCATGTGGTAGGAATGACAACTACTGTCTTGTAACAACTGCACTTGTCAGAGTGAGCAGTATATAAGCAGAGACGTGGAGAATGTAGTAGTTAATGGGCAAGAAAAGTAATTTGAGGGATTTTGAGGAGGACTAAGTTGTTATATTCAAAATTTAGAGCATTTTCAAAATGGCATAGGTCATGGAGAGTGCTCATGTCCAATTGTGTCAAGTAATTATCAGCCGTGATCTGAAGAGAAAAAAATCAATTGTCAATAACACATTGGGGAGCCAAGATTTACTGATGCAACAAATGAACGGAAGCTTTCCCATCAAGTTAGAGCCAACAGAAAAGCTATTTTGTCACAAATTGTAGATAACTTTAAGGATTAAGTAAGGAATGAGTCACAACACAGTGCATTGGTCCTTGTTACATATGGGGCTATGTAGTTAGAGGCCCATCAGAGTTACACTGTTAACCAATGGCCATCAACAAAAGCATCTTCAATAGACACAAGAGCATTGGAACTAGACTATATTAATGGAAGAAGATTATCTAGTCTGAGGGTATCACGAGGTATCCCAGAACTCAGCTTATAACCAATGAAATTCTTAACTAAACACTAAAAAAGGCATATATTCAACTCGCCATGTTATTTCATTCAATATCTCCATAAAAACATAATGCATACCAAATAAAAGCTTATTTCATGAACTTTGTTTCTGTCTTATTTTTATATGTACTACAGTGTGTGAGGAACATTGCAGTTTGAAAATAGAGACATTTTGGTGATTTCCCAAAATTTTGGCCATTTTTTTCACTGACGGCAGTTTGGACTTCCTCAAATTTTGTAACATACACACTCTGCAGGGTTTATTACAATTTTGGTAACACGTTAGTTTCAAAGTTAACATTCTAAGCTTTATTTTCATATATTTTATATTTTTTAATTTTAATAAGAAGTTTGTAAACAATTCAAATGAAAAGTTTGATCGTAAAATTCAAATGCTTCTTGTAAAAATAAAAACATAAAATATATCATTAAAATGCTCATTTAATAATCTATGAAACTAAATCAAAATCAAATATGAAAAGATAGCTCCATTTTGCAGGTGTGCGATTATGTATAACCATGTGCGACTCGCCTAGCCATCATTTCAACTCCACGTGACAGTCAATACACAGCATCAACATGGACACCCAAGAATCGACCAGCATGTTTTCTATGGATGAAATTTTCAAGGAAATTGGTAAGAATTTGTTTTAAATATTAATTTTCTATGATATGTAAAATATATATGGGATTTAAAAACCGTTTTTGTCATAAAAAATATGAAACAAAAATCAATTTGTTTACTTTATGCTCAGATTCAAATCATGAAAAAAAAAAAACATAGGACTTATTGATTGAAAAATATTCATATTCAAAGAATGAGATAAAAAACACAAAAAAAAATGCAAAAAAATTCTAGAATGTCTTTTATGTTTTTGCAGTATTCTCATAATAATTATCAGCATTTCAGTTACCAAGTAACATTTTGTTTAAAGTTACCCCTTCAAACAATTTTCTTACTTTATAAATTATCTAATGAATGGATTTTAGTTACGATTTATTGCTATCTAGATACAAATTTATGATTTAATATTCATTTTCCTAATTTATTATTATTTCTTAGTAATATTTATTTCATATGGATTATGATTGTTTATTTTATTCTAAAATATTTTAATGTGTCAGTTTTAAGGACCACTGTTGAAATAGGTTTTTTGAGAAAATATTTTAGTGCTTTCTTATTTGTTACTCAGGTGTATGGATGATTCTAAATTTATATTTATCCCTGATTGTATTTAGTGCAATTTTTTTATGAACTGCAAATAAACTCAAATTCAATAAGAAAACATAGACAATAATTTGTAGATGACTACTAAGTAGTACTTTGACAAAATGGGATAGGATTATAAATTCATTTTTTTCTTTTTGAAGATGACTATGTACAGAATCAGTTATAACGTTTTATGACAAAAGGACATGGAAGGAAGATGTCTTTGCCTAAAGTGGAATGTTCCAAGAAGGTGCTGCTTCAAATATATTCATTGAAAGAGAAGTATCAGGAAACCTGGGATTCTGCTATTACTTGGCTACATAAATTGTTCCCAATCTTTCCTAAGAACAGATGGATACACCTTATTGAGAAAGTTGTAGCAGAAGTTCAGAGTTGCCCAAAAGTGGATCATCCTGCATTGTACCATGAAGTAACAAATTTGGGATTCATAGGTGAAAGATGTGAGAGTGTTGTATTGACTCTCAGTGTTTTGTCGGATCCAACACTGGGTCGTAAGCTTTTATGTGCGGAAGTAACAAATGGGCTCATACTTGAACTATATAAACTGAATACGCCAGCAAAGATATACTAGTCAGACTAGAAGAACTTGGGTAGTGCCTGAATTAGATTATTTGGAGAGATTGTATGAAGAGTATACCAAGACTTACTTTTTACTACTCAGTGAAGAGGTATCCCAACACCCAGACCACCATTACTGAAAATTTTCAAATAAACTTTATTTGATTAATTTTATGTCTGTGTTGTTTATTTTTATGTGCATAATGTGAGAGGAACATTACAGTTTTAAAAATTGAGACAATTTGGTCATTTCATACTGCTTACATAGTGATCGGAACTAACATGTGTCAGAACTTCAACCTTTTGATCAAATTGTGACAGATAAAATATTTTTATTTTAATGATTTCAGTTACAAATTTAGTGGTTGAATACCACTTCATGATATGGTGAGTTTTCTGTTGTTTTTTTATGTTCATTAGTGGGTTAAGCTTCTCTCTCTCTCTCTCTACAGTCCAGAAATTGTACATGTTGAGTCAGGATTGTACTTGTTCAGCGTCTGCTCCATATACATTCTAATCTGTTGATTTTAGGTCATTTTAACCATGATAAATGGAAAGAGCACCCCCAGAAATGGCTAGATATGAATTTTGGTGTTTCTAGTGCAAGAAGTATTCATTTTATGACACAATTCAAGCAAGTCTAAAATTGGCCTTTCAAATACCTTGTGACAAAGGGTTAAAAAGCAATTTTTTTCAATTTTGAAGTGTAATAATCCAGAATATATCCATTCTATCACTCCCCAAAACATTAGGCATGTTACTGGTATAGTCAAGTGATATTTGAAATTTTGCATGAATGTGGGTCTTATTTCCAGTTTTATGAAATGTCAAACCTCAGGTTATGAGTTGTTTGCACATCGTTGCAGAGGGTTTGATTTATAAAATTTGCATATTCAGACTGAATTTATTTAAGAAATATGCAGTGATATTATCTGTAATTTTATTATTAATTTCTTTGTTATGTACCTAACAAGCTAGTATAATTTTAACTGTTGTTCTTAATTGCTTTTTAAAAACATAGGAGTCCAAATATGGTATTTTATCCTAATTCATAATAGACAAAAAAAATGGCTGTCGAGCACATGTGTAAAAATAAAAATAAATCTGCCAAAATTAAACTGTTTGAGATATTTTGATGAAATAAAAACTGCTAAGTTTTCTTTAATCATGTAGATTAAGAAGATGCAATCAGATAACACCTAGTACCTGTTTGAAATTTTCATTTGTGATACCTAATATCACTTTCTCCTGTCCTGAATAAGGTGGACAACAGGTATCTGTGCACTATTTACATTATTCGGACTATTGCCCTCATCTTTGTCACCATATTTATTACAACGTTTCAGCTGTTGTATGCTCTGGCCTTCTTCAGGTGGTTGGAATGTCAAACTTTATTTCGCTCACTGGGGTAGACTGTTCTAGTTCCACGTGCCATGTTTAATGGATGTCAGTTATCAGTTATCTCCTGTTAATTCCCCTCTGCAAGTTCTCCACTGCCTTAAACGGGTATTGAACTCACACTCTTTGGGTCCTGTCCTTCAGGACACATGGCACAGTAGATAAAGGCATTGGTTAGATCCCAGCTTCAATAAACAAAACTATCATACAAAAAGTGTTGTAAACTAGGTATTTGACTGTATTTACCTGCTGGAAACATGGCCCAGGGAAGGCCCCCAGCATCAGGCCCAGCAGCCATAGGTTGAGCTTCATGGGGGGCTACTGGCTCCGCTGCCTGAAAAAGAAAACACATCAAACCGAAGGTGTCTTATTTTCTTTTGGTTATAGATTTTAAAAGTAGAGGAATATTTCCTATATGAAAATTTGAGACAAAATTCACCGAAATTAATTCATAAGCTTGCTAAATCTCTAAAGTAATTGGTTGCAGAGATCTTAGATCTCCAGTGTATATCTGTGATCAAATGAAGAATTTCATTTGAGTTGTAGCAATCTGATGTTGAAGAATTGTATATATTCACATCTCATATATGTTATTCAGCGTTTTACCAAAAACTATACTTAATAAAATTACCATATTATCATCTACAGAAGTAAATAGCTTATTCAGAAAAGTATCATAGTTCATTCATTTGCTTGTGTTAGTAATCATTTCTCAACTGTAAATAACTATTTTTTTTTTAAAACATGTAAGCTTTGCTTGCTAAAATCAATAGCAACATAATAACAATTGATAGAACAATAAAAAGTGAAAGCAGAACCTAGTCTACAGCAAAATATATGCAGAATAAAAGAATAACAATGTTGTAATTCTTTATAGCCAGAGTAGTTCACAAGAATTTCAAGTTTACATAGTGGAAGTTGTAACAGTTAAGACTGACAAAATTTAATAGGAAAAACAAAGTTACAAATTATACGATTTCCACATTATTATTAACAAAAACTTTAAACAACTTTCATTTTATTTTAGGGTCTGTTAATAAATGTGTGTGTGTGTGTGTATGCTTATGGAACCTACAGAATAACTATTTTTTAAATTTCTACAGGTGTAAACTTAGGCTATGCTGAATTTTTGATTAAGTGATCTCTCACAGTAATATCTTTTTATACACAAAGCACAATGCAAAACCATGTATGTATTGTTGAACTGAAGAAAAAAAATGATTTCTTGGAATATAATGTTTATTTAAGTTACTATTTAAAATATTTGCTTCAATGAGTTGAGAGCACTAAAAAAATTAAGAGATTTTCAAAATACCTAACATCTTTGCCAGATGATTAATGTTACTTCAATGAATCACTTATTGTAACTTTACAAATGTGACAACAGTGTGAAGAAAGTACTGAAGTATTGTTCATTATCTTAGTTATAAATTTCCAACTTAGGATCTTTTGAATAAGAATATATCCAATTTTTTCTCAGATATTCAATTTCATTAACTTAAAAAATAAAATTATACTAAGATATTACTTACAATACCATTTTCGACATAAATCAAATTTAATATAAAGTATTTTCTATACACTTTAAAAATAATTTTGCAAATATTTATGTTATTATACTGAGTGATATATTTTGTGTATCTATGTTTCAAGTTTTGATATCATAAAACGATCCTTCATAAATTATTTATTCAGAAAGTTTGAACAAAGTTTCTGTAAAAACAAGTTCCAATAGTTAAAATATAATAATAAAAAAAAAAGAAAAAAGTAAGATAGAGAGTGAAATTTCCAAAAATGACAAAGAGAAATTCAGAACACATAGCTGGCTGCAAAAACTATATACAAAGCAACGTTTTAATTTCCCACAAACCTCAAATCCACCAAACTCTTCAAAATCATCATCATTATCATGGCCTGCACCTTCCAGCCTCTGATTCTGGAGAAGTGAAAAATAAAAACAATGTACTTATTAATATCAACAATTAAAATACTTTCATGAGAATTCTTTTAAAATTAAAATCAAGGAAATGATACTGATGAATACAAATGTTTGAAATTAGGCAAGGCTTAAAATTGAAACTGTATCTAAAATCTTAATACCTAATTAGGAATTGAGTAGTTAATGAAAAAAAATAGTAATAAATATTGTTAGATTTTCAATTTTGTACTTAACACTTCCATTGCTATAGATGTACTTTGCAAAACTTACATTGCCTGCTATTGACATATATATTATCTAAAACACTGTAATGTCAGTCCCAAGTGTGTGTCTGTGTGTGTGCTATAAACTAAGTAGCACTTGGTGATATTTTAAAAAAAAGTGTAGATATATAGGAGCATACGATATAACCTGTTTTCTGATGTATTTTTATTATGTTTTTTTTTGGGGGGGGGGAGGACATTTAGCTTAGTCTGTACTGCAGAGCATCTGATTGAAACCAAAATGGCAGCACTCATGCAAAATCACCATCAGAATTTTTATAGTCAATTATTTTCCAGTAAATGACAATTTTCTATTTTTCTTCAAAATGGACAAGCACAGCCAAGCAACAAGGCAACAGTGAAAGTGTTAAGTATTACACACAACAAACTGTTACTTTCATAAGCATAAATGTTGTTATCTGAAGATAATAATTACTATCATTTGTAATATCCGCATTGAAAGATTATTAATTTAAGTCTATTTTGAATATCTTGAGTGTAAATCAACTGAAGAGAACAAATAATATAATTTCAGTGGATATGCAATTTGTATTAGTAGTGTGTGTGTATGTGTGTGAGAGACACTTGTTTATGTGTTTATTGTCCACAGAGAAGAAGAAAAAATTAAAAGTGAATCATTGAAATCAATTTAATTTTTACTATATAATCTTTATTTGACATTAAACAGTTTTACTGTTTTCTAACAATTTATATTTTCCAACATGAGTTTTTACTGAGGTCAATAAAAAAGAAAACAAAACACAATAAATTAAGGCAACACCCACTCCTCCTCCACAACATGAAAATTTACTAATGAAAATAATGGAAGGTAAATTTATAATTTCTTTACTGGTTTGATAATATATTCTGCTCAATTCTCAAAATGCTTAACAAAGATATTTAGCATTAATGACCTCAAAGAAAAAAAAAAAGGTATTTTGAATATGAGCCAATCATGAGCTGAGAATTTACTGGTGAATTTACAAAGATGATAAAATTCAAAAGCATTTTGGGACAAGATACTTTGTTAAAAATCATTATTTATAAAGAAACTAACCAACTAAAGTATATTTCTATTCAGTAGGTTTGTTTTTCATCATTAAAGATAGGCTGGGTTTTTTTTTTCTCTAAATGATTATTTGCATTTTAATGAAGTTCCTTTAGGATCTTTTTTATACATTTTTCTACATGCTGCTGATAAAAGCTAATAATACTCTCAAGTCTTAAGGTATAAGGACATAAAACTATCAACTAATTTATTAATTCTATACAAAAACTACAAAATCAATGTTTCAACACATTTCTAAGCTAAAATCTATGGAAGCCCGAAAGAAACAAAAAAAAAAAAATCACACATACAACAAAAGCAAAACAATATATAAAAACAATGTATGTATATTATAGACAAAAGTCTAGCAAGTAATAATAGCAGCATTAAAAAAAAATAAAAATAAAAATCACCAAAAGACTAAAATACACCAATGCAGAAATAATAAAAAAAAAAAAAAAAATGAAAAAACAACAAAAACAGAATTTATATTGCATACCCGGAAATGATGATTGTCAGCATAATCCTTTTTTTGAGCAGAAGAAAAACAAACAGAAAGAAACAAATCAAAATAACATAGATAAAAATATCTTGATATACAAAAACTGAGAAGGAATCAGAAAGAAATGAACTCAATGTTAAGAAAAGTAAATATCAACAAGTAAAAATTTGAATAATAAATTACATGAAAAAACAAACACAGACACAAATTGTTAAAAAGTCTATTTTAGAATTAATAAAAAATAACTGACTTTCTTTTTCGTAGAATCATTTTGTGATGTTGGGCATACTGGTATCTTCTGGCTATTATTGGGGATATTTTGCTTATTAGATCAACAACTCCTTTATAATGAGATAACACTTTAATCTGCAACCACTGGCAAGTTTAGCTTAATGATTAAGTTGGGGATTGCATGTGCAGAGGTCTAAAGTTCTACACCAGACATACCTATGCTTTCTACTGCACACACTAAAGCTGGTTTTAAACCAGATATGAGTAAACTATGATTTAAAATAAAATTCATTGTTATTTTCCTGCTAAGTGATCAGAATATTGAAACAAAAAGGATTAGGTCTCCAAGTTCAGTCTGAATGGGAACTTAAGAAATCTATTACTCTGATAAAGATAGCAATTGCATCAAGTGTAAATAAAACTATGATGGAAAGAAGTATTAAGACAGACAGACATAAACAAGCAAATGTACAAAAACTAACAATTTGTGTCAATTTTTAACAATAAAGCAATTTTACATAAATAACAAAGCTGAAACAAAATTAATAAAATGTTGCACTTTTATAAGATTTACTTTCTCTAAATTTTTGAATATTTGATAAAAAAAATCCGTTTTTTACCTAAGTTCAAGGTTTTTAAACATTTTTCTGCCAATAACAAGTGTAGCTAAAATAAGAAACCAAAGTTGTGAAAATAATACATATTTTCTTTTTATATATAAAAACAAAACAAAACCATTTATGAAAGACAAGTGTATTATTTGTGAGTGGAAAAAAAAAAAAAAAAGATGAAAATGTAATTGTTCTATGTTCTTTAAATATTTTCTATTTTTGCAATACTTAAATCTCTAAACCTACTTGGTTACAAACAGCACCAGAATTGCTGGCATGCAAAGCAAGTTTATAATTGGTATTAAAAAGGAAACCGCAATGAAAAAGAGATTTTCAAAACCTGGAGCTTATGTCATTGTTGAGATAGTTATGTATTTCTCATTGACACCCAAAGACTGGCATTTAAACACATGTAGGAAACCAGAAATTCAAGTGTTTATTCCCTGAACAGGCAAAGCTCTACCTCAGTTGGAAACTTCCTATTTTGTGTTGTACCATACTCAGTTAAATCTAATAAATATCAATATTAAGGTATCTTTAAATGGCAGATACTAGTTCTAAATAAATCAAATAAGCCTGAGAATTTACCAAAAGTGACAACTGGTGTTCCTATTGGAAGTTCAAAATTTGGTAGCTCTTGCCATTTCTGCCATTATACCTTAAAATGGAACAAGCTAGCAAATCAGTTCCAACAAATCTACAGACCAATTCTTTTTTATCATCCATTTTGATTTGTTATTACAGCAATTATGAGGGTTTTTTTTTTTTTTTAATTACAATCAGAAGATACAGAGAGTATCAAAATTTTGATACGCTTTAGCAATAGTAACAATGCAAGTATAAAGTCGCTTATTTGGAACAAAATGGTAATTATTGCACATACATGCAATATATAGAGCTAGATAATCTGGACTCTATTATTTATTTCATACATGACAGTGTTTAAAAGAGACAAGAATTGTTGATAACAATATCTATATAAAAATCTTTGGAATTAAATTTTAGTAAATTTAAAACAAAATAAAATCAAGCCTGCAAAAAATTGGCTGATGTCAATTTTCTTAAATACTGTTTATATGGAAGCAAAATTAATTTCTATACATTATATGTACCTTGTCTATATTTGCTTGTAAAAGAAAAAAAAAAAGGAATTTTAACTCAAGCTTCAGGTTACTGATCTGTTTCAATTCACTTGACCAAATCTGCAAGTCCAATGAAAACATTTTTATGTTGACTAACTTCTGCTTTTCAATCTGAGCTAACAGAAAAGTCAACTTTCCATTTAAGAAAAGTTTTTAAAAATACCTGATAGGAAACAGAAGTGGTAAATAGATGTTTGAGTAAAATTATGCCTCTTCAAAATTGATGATGGTACCCAGATAATTGCAAAGAATTATTGTAAATTTTTGGACAAAATACTTTTTGAATGGTATAGATCATAACCAAAAAACTTTAAGGTAAAGAGTATATTTATGCAAAAAAATTATCCTGTACATTCTGTTAAGCTGACTATTGCTTACATTGCCAAAACTGGTTCCAAGGACATCAAATTAATAGAATGGTTCCCAGCCTCTCTAGGTTTTAATCTAATGGAAAATTTATGGACCATCATTAAAAGAGATTGATATGAAAATGGAAAACAATATTAAGCAAAGAAGAGAAAGTAATAATGACAGAAAATAATATTGAAGTTATAGAAAATTTTGAAAAAAATAAATAAAAAATCCAGCATTAATTATAGCTTTAGAAAAATCAGGTATTCATTCTAGATTTCTACTCATGGGACATTAATGGGTTGAAGAATATTCCAGTGCCAAAACCCTGATAATATATGTCAACAAAATCAGATGGAAGGAATTCAATTTCCTCAAAAGTGACAGCATTTCCTCAACAAAGAAGAGGAACAGGTTTAAAACGTGTAAATGTCCAATGCTGCAGAATGAGTTAAACAACTTTGAGAAAGATATGTTCAACATGTGAATACAATTGAATTTAAGTGTGACACTGAGATCTCGGGAGGTTGATCAAATAAAAGGAGAAAGAAAGAAAGGAAGAGGAAATTGTTGAAATTTGCAGGAAGATGGATTGAAAAGTTAAGAAAATTAAAGATGAAATGCATTGAAAAATCATGTTTTGAAATAATTCCAAAGAGAATCAAATCCAAATTTAACTAGATGGAATTCAGTAAAATTGAGCAAAACCAAGACTACCCATCCTTCTCCACTTCCCACCATATATGAAAGAGACCTTAAAGGTATCCATGAAGATGTCAGATAAAATAAAAACACATGAAAGAATAAAGAAATCACGATGGTTGCCGAAAAAACATTTACAATTCCTCT